GGTCTACATCATGACATTATTATGGACTAAAGAGCGAGATTATTTGTATTTGTCAAACGGCAGCCAAGCATCAATGATCATGTCACCAGAATAAGACCCTTAATATTTATTGGAAAGGAGCATCAAGATCATCACCTTGCACTTTCACCACCCTGTGAAGTTCATCATAATTTTTCTGTAGCCTAATAAACTGCATGCTTTCCTGACGAGTCGTAGTGGGAGGACCACACAACATGTCATCACGTGACGCCACGTTTACTTCCATATGATGGTTATCATATCAATATTTACGCATAAAAGCATTTCCACCAACATTTCTCATATAATTCATTTTACCGACACAAAATTATCCCACCTTGTATTTTGTTTTGTCGACATTTGGAAAGTTTACTGAAAAATGTTCTGTTTCCATCAGGCATGTCATTATATTTTTTATCCAACATGTACTTTACTCACATAAAAATGTTGAATGGAAACCTGGTTAGTGATACAATTTGAGTTGCTTTGTGCATCACCACATTTGCTTGAGATGATTTTACTGCAACACTGTTCACTGCATCCAAGTTGCTTGACATGCAGTCGGGAGAACAAGTATTTGATACACTGCCGATTTTGCAGGTTTTCCTACTTACAAAGCATGTAGAGGTCTGTAATGTTTATCATAGGTACACTTCAACTGTGAGAGACAGAATCTAAAATAAAAATCCAGAAAATCACATTGTATGATTTTTAAGTAATTAATTTGCATTTTATTGCATGACATAAGTATTTGATACATCAGAAAAGCAGTACTTAATATTTGGTACAGAAACCTTTGTTTGCAATTACAGAGATCATACGTTTCCTGTAGGTCTTGACCAGGTTTGCACACACAGCAGCAGGGATTTTGGCCCACTCCTCCATACAGACCTTCTCCAGATCCTTCAGGTTTCGGGGCTGTCGCTGGGCAATACAGACTTTCAGCTCCCTCCAAAGATGTTCTATTGGGTTCAGGTCAGGAGATTGGCTAGGCCACTCCAGGACCTTGAGATGCTTCTTACTCCTTAGTTGCCCTGGCTTTGTGTTTCGGGTCGTTGTCATGCTGGAAGACCCAGCCATGACCCATCTTCAATGCTCTTACTGAGGGAAGGAGGTTGTTGGCCAAGATCTCGCAATACATGGCCCCATCCATCCTCGTCCTGTCCCCTTTGCAGAAAAGCATCCCCAAAGAATGATGTTTCCACCTCCATGCTTCACGGTTGGGATGGTGTTCTTGGGGTTGTACTCACCCTATTTTTGTCTCATCAGACCACATGACCTTCTCCCATTCCTCCTCTGGATCATCCAGATGGTCATTGGCAAACTTCAGACGGGCCTGGACATGCGCTGGCTTGAGCAGGGGGACCTTGCGTGCGCTGCAGGATTTGAATCCATGACGGCGTAGTGTGTTACTAATGGTTTTCTTTGAGACTGTGGTCCCAGCACTCTTCAGGTCATTGACCAGGTCCTGCCGTGTAGTTCTGGGCTGATCCCTCACCTTCCTCATGATCATTGATGCTCCACGAGGTGAGATCTTGCATGGAGCCCCAGACCGAGGGTGATTGACCGTCATCTTGAACTTCTTCCATTTTCTAATAATTGCGCCAACAGTTGTTGCCTTCTCAACAAGCTGCTTGCCTATTGTCCTGTAGCCCATCCCAGCCTTGTGCAGGTCTACAATTTTATCCCTGATGTCCTTACACAGCTCTCTGGTCTTGGTCATTGTGGAGAGGTTGGAGTCTGTTTGATTGAGTGTGTGGACAGGTGTCTTTTATACAGGTAACGAGTTCAAACAGGTGCAGTTAATACAGGTAATGAGTAGAGAACGGGAGGGCTTCTTAAAGAAAAACTAACAGGTCTGTGAGAGCCGGAATTCTTACTGGTTGGTAGGTGATCAAATACTTATGTCATGCAATAAAATGCAAATTAATTTCTTAAAAATCATACAATGTGATTTTCTGGATTTTTGTTTTAGATTGCGTCTCTCACAGTTGAATTGTACCTATGATAAAAATTACAGACCTCTACATGCTTTGTAAGTAGGAAAACCTGCTAAATCGGCAGTGTATCAAATACTTGTTCTCCCCACTGTAGGTGTTTCAAAGAGTTATCAGTCAAGGTGAGCTCATGAATATAAACTCCCCACCCACTCAGCCTGTCTTTTAACATTTCCTGGTAGTTAGCCATGAGAGAAAAAGTACTTTTCAGAATGACTGTTCAGGACCTTTAATGGAAGAATCTACTGTGCAGCCCGGAAGATCATAAAGTAAGTGTACGCAGAGATTAATAAGGCTTGGATTTGTGAGTCAATGCTAAGAATGTTGTCCAAGGGAATGGACTAGAAAAATCTGGAAGAAAAATGTTAGACATGCTGCAATCCTTTTTCAAACCAATGCACATCATTTTGAATTCTAAATGGCTGATCTGCAATTAATACACCCCCCTAATTCCCCTGTCCACAGCAACATCGATGGTACAAACTGATGGTGCCTGCCTGATGTCTTAATGTTAGCAGCGTCATTTTTGAAGGTAAGATTGAACTTAAGTTGAATATGTGTTCAATAAACGCTCAAGCAATCTACATTATTTCCCAATTTGATTCAACATTTCCTTTCTCTTTACAGAAACACTACATGACCAAAAGTATGTGGACACCTGCTCGTCGAACAGCTCATTCCAAAGTCATGGGCATTAATATGGAGTTGTTCCCCCCTTTGCTGCTATAACAGCCTCCACTCTTCTGGGAAGGCTTTCCACTAGATGTTGGAACATTGCTGTGGGGACTTGCTTCCATTCAGCCACAAGAGCATTAGTGAAGTCGGGCAGTGATGTTGGGCGATTAGGCCTGGCTCGCAGTCGGTGTTCGTTCCAATTCATCCAAAGGTGTTCGATGGGGTTGAGGTCAGGGCTCTGTGCAGGCCAGTCAAGTTCTTCCACACTGATCTCGACAAACCATTTCTGTATGGACCTCACTTTGTGCACGGGGGCATTGTCCTGCTGAAACAGGAAAGGGCATTCCCCAAACTGTTGCCACAAATTTGGAAGCACAGAATCATCTAGAATGTCATTGTATGCTGTAGCATTAAGATTTCCCTTCACTGGGACTAAGGGGCATAGCCCAAACCATAAAAAACAGCCCCAGACCATTATTCCTCCTCCACCATTGGGGCAGGTAATGTTCTCCTGGCATCCACCAAACCCAGATTCGTCCGTCAGACTGCCAGATGGTGACGCATGATTCATCACTCCAGAGAACGCGTTTCCACTGCTCCAGAGTCCAATGGTGGCGAGCTTTACACCACTCCAGCCGACGCTTGGCATTGCGCATGGTGAACTTAGGCTTGTGAGCGGCTGCTCGGCCATGGAAACCCAGTTCATGAAGCTCCCGATGAACAGTAGTTGTGCTGATGTTGCTTCCAGAGGCAGTTTGGAACTCGTAGTGAGTGTTGCAACCGAGGACAGACCATTTTTACGTGCTACGCGCTACTCGGTGGTCCCGTTCTGTGAGCTTGTGTGGCCTACCACTTTGCGGCTGAGCCGTTGTTGCTCCTAGACGTTTCCACTTCACAATAACAGCACTTACAGTTGACCGGGGCATCTCTAGCAGGATAGAAATTTGACGAACTGACTTGTTGGAAAGGTGGCATCCTATGGCGGTGCCACGTTGAAAGTCACTGAGTTCTTCAGTAAGGCCATTCTACTGCCAATGTTTGTCTATTGAGATTGCATGGCTGTGTGCTCGATTTTATACACCTGTCAGCAACTGGTGTGGCTGTAATAGCCGAATCCACTAATTTGAAGGGGTGTCCACATACTTTTGTATATATAGTGTATGCAATCAGATGAAACACCCCACCAAAGCAATCAACAACCCAGATTCTGTTCCAGAATTGTTTTCAATCAAATATTTACAGATTTCTTAATGCAGAGTTTATTTAATGTGACATTGAAAAATATAAATGTCAAATATATATTTTAGATGCATTTCCAGAATACAAAGAATTGGCCAAATCATATATTTTCCAAAAATATATTTAATGCATTTTAAATACATTTTCAGATGCATTTTAAATACAATTTGCAATGTATGTCAAGATGTATTTAAATGTATTTAAAATGTATATATGATTTGGCCAATTCTTTATATTTTCAAATGTATCCTGAAAATGCATAAAAAAATATATTTAAAGAGATACTTCAGGATTTTGGCAATGAAGCCCTTTATCTAGTCAGATGAACTTGTGGATAACATTTTTATGTCTCTGCGGGCAGTTTGAAGGAAGTTGCTAACTAGCGTTAGCGCAATTGCTAACTAGCGGTAGCGCAATGACTGGAAGTCTATGGTAACGGCTAGAATGCTAGTACATTGGCTCGTAAAACTACCTCTAACTTCCTTCATACTGGATGCAGAGATAACAATAGTATCCATGAGTTCATCTGACTCTGAGGAAGTAGATAACATCCCATCAAGCTGCCTCATAGAGCTAAGATTTAATTACTGCTGCGTAGGTCCTGTGTAGCTCAGATGGTAGATCGTGCTGGTCCCGTGTGGCTCAGTTGGTAGAGCATGGTGCTTGCAACGCAAGGGTTGTGGTTTCAATTCCCACGCGGGACCAGTATGAAAATGTATGCACTCACTACTGTAAGTCTGCTAAATCAGGGTTTCCCAAACTTAGTCTTGGGGCCCCATCTGGGTGCACTCAACATCAAGCTTTGATTATTTGAATCAGCTGTGTAGTGCTAGGGCAAAAACTAAAACGTGCACACGGGGGGCCCCCAGGACCGACTGGGAAACCCTGTGCTAAATGACTAAATTGTAATTGCATAGAATTCATACAGCTGAAATCTTGTTTAAGTATTATGATTTCAGTAATCTCTTTGAGGTGTACACTGTACTATCTTTATTTACTTTAGCTTTACCCTGAGGGTGGTACTGTAGGATTGGGGATAGACAGACTGTGTACATGTGTTTGTAGTGCATTTTGGCTTGGTGCGGTGATTGGGAAAACAAGGGTCTGATACAAGGGTCCGTTAAGCATCTTCAAGATGTCAGACAGAACGAGAGCTTCCACTCACCCTGCTCGAGAGGCTGGCCATTAACTGCTGTGGCTTTCATCTTGAGGGCCTCCCTGGCAGAAGTGTCGCAGTGGGAGCCTTTATTAGTATCCTGGTCACTATCAGCCTGGTCACTATCACCATGGCCACTGTCTCGGAGGCTCGCTTGCTCTGCATCCTTAAATGTTGAGCTGCTGCAGGATGAGGAGACAGAAAAAAAAAACATAACTCACTGGTGGTGGTGTCTGTCTGTCTTTCCTGTGATCGCCCTCGCGCCCTATTTGACATGCATGGTCTGATGGCTTGATATTGACTAGAATGTAAATGGCGGTCGTCAGGTAGTTATCATTTAGCGGCCTTACCTTTGAGCAAATGGCTGGCTGTTGGCCGCATAATTGGGCTCCGAGGGAAAATTATCCGTCTGAGAATAGAAGAGAGATAATTATTTGTGTATTGTGCGCCAGAATTGTTTTCCTGTGTGCAACAGTATATCTGAGCAACATGACATATTCAAAGGACACCTCCATTAAGTATGGCTTGGCCTGCATTCCGATCTGTTCATTTGAATCATTTAGGAACACATTGAATCCTTGTTGCTACATCCATTTTTTTTGTTGCTCTGTATGAATTTGAGAGTGGCTACATTTCTCAATGGTCCATACCTCAGCTTTTTATCAAAACAGAGGCGGGGTATCCGCTTTGTTATTGTTTAAATTAAGGACTCTAGCTTTAATAAAGCATATTCCAGTGTGAGAGAGCAGCTGCTATCAGTGGCACCCTGATAAGAACAAATCTCCTTTATGTCCATATGTGCCTGTTTGGCGAGGGAGAGAGAAGTAATGCATCAGCCACTGTCATCTGCATCCTTGTTTTTTCTCATCTTGAGAATAATGTGTTTGTTTTGATCACACCCACATGCCCTAGCAACTGGTGACAGCGCCAGCTCTTGTCATCAGTGTTATCATCTCCAAATGAGACTGTCTCGGAGACTGTCCTAGATATTTACATAATTTACAACTGAAAAGACTGCTGTGCTAAATAAAATTACATGCACTCCCTGTCAATTTAATATGCTGGCTTGCATAAGCAGCCCTGTCATCTTTTACAAGGCAGGGCTGGACCCTATTAATGGCCTTATCTTGCCAACATTGGATTTGGATTTGTGGAACTGGCCCATGTTTGTGGAGGGCAAGAGATGGGATTATAAGGTTATGCTGTGTGCATCTAGCTGTCTGGCACAAAATATTTCACTAATGTGATCAGACAAGCTGTTCAAACACCTGGCCAATCCCAGACTTCAGGCAAGGTTTTGTTTTCACTCTTGTGGCAGGCGGATCTGGCAGTGGCAGCATAACAGTGCAGTCCAAGACCCACATGGTTTGCATATCTAACAGAAATGGTTTTCTGATTATTTAGACCACCTGTAAGGTGCTGCTAGAAGTGATTCATAATGGGCCAATTTCAAAATGGTTAGGATCTCTGTGGAGGAAATGTAGATCACAAACAGTCTATTCTAGCACAGTAACAACCGGTATCAAAATACAGTATCTTTTCAGATATTATTTCTTCAATATGCTTGTGATGTATCATGCTGCATTTTTTGTCCTTCAATTTGCAACATCATAGGGCGCCAGACAGGGAATACAAACGATAACAAGGATGTCTGATTGCATGGTGCCTGAGTATTGATTTGAACAATTACCTCTCTTGTGGCAGATTTGTATAGAATACCATGAAAGAATGAGGAAGAATAAAAGGCTGAAAAAATACAGTACAATGATACTGTTTCTTACCTGTATGACTGACATTCTATTCATAGTAGTCTCTGTGGTAAGCCCCGCGAAGCTTGAGTGACATCCAGCCCGAGGCGCCGTCAGGCTGTTGGAGGTGGTTTTGAGGTACATGACCTCTGACCTGGGCAGCGTGAGAGGCAGCGGGCTGGTCGTCTGGTAGTCGAAACAGATAGGCGAGGTGATGAGAGACGGGCTGCTCACCACGTTCATCCTGCTCACAGAGTCCCTCTCCTCCATCTCGCTCTGCACCAGCATGATTTCGTTCTTGTTGATCCTTTTCTTCTTGCCCTTCCCCACCGGGGGATTGGAGTTGGAGTACTCAGCCATGCGGCACTTATAATTCCCAGCCTCCTTATCTTGATGCTTGGACTTAACAGCGATGGCAGTCATGACAGCCAGCAGCATGACAGAGATGATGCAGAGGGTGACGATGAGGGGCAGGGACAAGTCCCAGTGCTGCTGCTCCCCGCTAGCCCTGGACTCCCCTCCTGCCATGGCTCCTGTGTTGGCCTTAATGATCAGCTTAGCCACAGCAGAAAGCGGGGGCTTGCCGTGATCGGTTACCTTCACTACCAGCTCTACAGCTGAGGCCACGTCCTCCCACACAGCATGGGCAGTCCTGACCTCACCGGCCACAGGGTCCATCTCAAACAGGTGCTCCTCGTTACCCTCTGAGATCTCGTAGGTCAGTCGACCGCTCTCACCGTAGTCGTGGTCGACCGCTCTTACGGTGGTCACTATGTACCCCAGGCCTACATTTCTAGGGACCATGATTTCCGCAGTGTCATTTATCAGGAGGGGTAATACAATAAATGGTAGATTGTCATTGACGTCAAGCACACCGACCCTGACTGTGGCACTGCTCTCCATATGAGGAGACCCTGCATCTTTAGCTTGAACATTGAACTCAAAGAACTTAGTTTGTTCGTAGTTGAAAGACCTTGAGGCGTATATGGCTCCGTTGGTAGGATTGACAGACACGTAGGTGTAAACTGACACGTCTCCGATGTGCGATGGCAAAATGGAGTAAGACACAGTTCCATTCCGACCTATATCTGGATCATGAGCCAGAACTGAGCCTAAGTACTCCCCTGGTATGTTGTTCTCAGGCACCTGGAGCATATAGATTGTCTTGGTGAAACGTGGTGCATTATCATTCTCATCTAAGATTTTCACTGTGAACGATTTGGTGTAATTCAAGGAGGGTATTCCGTTGTCTCTGGCCACTATTGTCACATTATATTCGTCTTTCAGTTCCCTGTCTAGAGGTCTGTCTGTGAGCAGAGTGTAAAAATTGTCATTGTTTTCCTGCAGCCTGAATGGTACATTGCCAAGCACCCTACATTGGAGCTGGCCATTTCTCCCAGAATCTTTATCAGTGACTCTCACCAGGGCGATGACAGATTCTGGAGGCGCTGCCTCACTGATAGCTCCCTGGCGGACTGAAACAAAACTTATGACAGGCCAATTATCATTCTTGTCAAGCACTTTGACTGAAATCTTACAATGGCCAGGGATGGGGTTAGGCCCCAGGTCCTTGGCCTGCACGTCAAATTCAATGGTCGGATTCTCTTCATAGTCAATTTCTCCCTGAATCTTTATGACACCTGTGTTGGGGTCAATAGAAAACAACTCCTGGACTCTATCAGATGCATATCCACTGAAAGAATAGACTACCTGTCCATTGCTGCCCTCATCTTGGTCTGTTGCATTCAGATCTATCAGCATTTTCCCAGGTGGTGAGTTTTCAGGGAGCTCCAGCACATAGGCGGGTTTGTCAAATACGGGGCTATTATCATTTGAATCAGTAACTCTCACATTGATTTGCATGGACCCTGATCTTGGATTCTCCCCTCCATCAATGGCTGTCAAAAGGAGGGTGTGATGGGACTGATCCTCCCTATCTAGAGGTCGCTGAACCACCAATTCAGGATAGATGGTTCCCTCGCCCCTCAATTTCAAGTCCAAAGAAAATGTATTGTAATCATCTCTGGTGACCTGATAACTCTTTATTCCGTTTCCCCCAGAATCTGAGTCATGCGCAATTGTTAGAGGGAAACGTGTCCCAGCAGCTGCATTCTCTGAAATATCAATATTGATGTGATCTGAGGGAAAACTGGGAGAGTTGTCGTTTATATCCACTACATCAATCTTGATCATGCATATTTCCTTGTCGTTGGCAAACACTTCCATGGAGAGCTGACACTTGGGGTTGCGTCTGCACAATGTCTCCCTGTCGATTCGTTGTTTGGTAAAAAGCAGCCCACTCTCCGGATCCACATCAATGAGATGTGGAGCAGAATTCTCCAGAACTCTAAAGTTAGATTTCCCCCCTCTCTCCACCGGTCCAAATCCGGCATCCTTAGCCATGTTTCCGATAACAGTTCCAGGTCCCTGCTCCTCTGGAACGGAATAATTGAGATTTGTCAGTGTCCGGGCTTTAGCCCAAAAGAGAAGGAAAAAGATGACAGGAAGACGCATATCCATTTACTGTGTAGGATGCGCGTGCTTAAAAATTCCCTTTTTAACTTCCAACCTGTTGATTTGTTCAGCGAACACACTACGACTAAAATCACACGAGACAGGTAGTTTTGTATCTAACACAACGGAGAGGTTATTACATCGATTTCTTGATATATTTTCTCTCTTTCCGCTGTCCTTTTAACCTCCACATGCCGTACAGCTATGATTAACTCTTTCTGTAAACAAAGATGAACGCCCAAAGACATATCACGCATTAACGCAACACAACATTTAACATGTGGCAGACGTGATTCGCTGGTGCGGTGAATAAAATATATTCAGTGATTTTAAAGCGTTTATGATTTCCCCTGTTGCTACAAGGTTACAAACGTTTGTACATCGCTCTATGCTGAAGGTTAGGCAGTAGAAAAGCGCAATGCCCTTATAGCCTACCTACAGCAAAATACTGAGATAGTCATTCATTTAACCATTCATTTTCCAGCATAGTCAGCTACCATCTACACAGTATACTTTTTCTGAGAGCTACACACTGTTGCATACAGGTTATGTACACATGAACCAACCCATAAAGTAAAGCAGATGCACCAAATAAATACGCTCATTCGGGACCAAGTCTTACATTTTCCTTTCATTTACGAACATCTGGAGAACGATAAGGACTTTTGCCCGATAATTGTCCTATAATCAGTCCAGTAATCCGGTAATCCAGTCCAGTTGGACCTTGTGCCCTTGCATTCTGCATTGATTCGGGGTAAGAACATCAAAAATGCTCCTTTAGAGGTTAAACAAATCCAAGAAGTCAGGTGCACAACGTTGTAGATTTTTCGATATGGTCGCAAATAAATTCGGTGTTCAATTATCCGGTCACGGAAAAAAAAGCTCTCTTGGCATTGATATCTGGTTACCACTAGAATCCTCCCGACGCCCTACACACTGACTCCAGTTTATATCTTGGTGCATTTAACATTGTTTCTGATCGTCTTCCAACCAATGAGTGAAACTGTGACAGATCCTGCCTTGGGGGTTTTCTCCAATAGGTCTGGCAAGTTCGCATTGAACGAGGGCTGTTCCGCTGGTACGTGATTCAGTTACTGATGTGAGCGCACAGAGCAGAGAGAGAGAGCTGCAGATGAAAACGTGCTTGTGGATTTTGTTCCTAATAGGCTACATTTCGATGTGCAGTAGGCCTAGAGATAGTGTGTGGATCATAACAATGTGGGGATGGGAATTAATATAGAAAAACTGTGAGGGTTTGGGTAAAGTGGTGACAATACTATAAAGCTTTGGTTAAAGGTGGTCAGTCCTGTTGAGACAGAAAGGCTGGTCATGCCAGGGGCTGGTACTAGGCTACTAGGCTAGGCAATCATAACAACAGACCTTTGTTTTCTGACTGTGGAAATGCTTGTGGACATGATCGACCAAAATAACTGTGTACAGCATGTATCCAATGCTTCCAATCCCAATTCACCTAATTATAACGTTTATATTACTGTTATGACACATCTTGATTTGATCTTGTCTCCTTTCACTGCATGGTCTGATAATGACTGTGGTTCATGATTCAAGAATACAAGCTGAACATGGTTGTATTGAGTGAGTAAAGATACAAGTCTCACAAGAGGATAAAACTAAAGAAAAAGCAATAATATCATAGTAGTTGTCAATTAATATTAGGGATTATTTCTCTACATGGGGATATTCTCTATATTCAGAGACTGTTTCCTATTTCTTATCGTAAATATCACACTTGTTGTTCCACCTCTTCCTGCTATGCAATATCCACAGTTATTATCACAGACAGTTTGTGGGAAAATGGACTGACATTTAATCCAGTCTTCTTTCAAATCAGCTAACATTTGCATTTGAATTAATTCTCACCTGGCCAGAGCAGTGCAATACCAGTCTCCTAGGTAATACAGGTATGCACTGACATATTCTTTCTTGTCAGCGTAAGGGCAAGATCAGTATGGTTGCAGGTTCATCATTAAATTGCTTGTTGCGCCGGCTCTAAATCAACCTTGAGTTGTCTACAGGTTCATTTATATTGTCTGAAACATGCTGCCATCCTCCTCTGGGGAGCAGCAACTTTGCCAGCCCAGGGTGCAGCCTGCATAAATTGGACAGTACTGCAGGTGCGAGATAAGAGCAACAAAGGCAAACCCTAATTTTTATTCAGTCAGTTAAAAACCCCAGGAAAGGATGGCTATTGACAATACTGTTTGCATTGACACATTTATCCCTTTTTCTTACTATTATCATAATTCCCTTAGAATGAATGTGAAGTTCAAATCCATAATACATGCCTCTTTCGTCCACGTGTGCCTCTCCATTTCCCAATAGGTTTTGTGGAGATTGAAGAGTTTGTGCCACGGCGAGAATCTCCTCAGAGCATATTGCTTTTCTTTCAGTGATACACTTTAATCTGCATCTGTTTGTGGCACCAAGACATGGGTGCATTGATTGTTTCACTGCAAATTGATTCGCAGTCAAATATGCATTAAGATGCCACTGCATATCTGAGCTGCTGTAATTTTGGAAAAGCCGGAATGACAAGTAGTAAACAGTAATTACACAGCTTTGAGCATGAATACAATATTCACTTTCCACCTTGTAATGGTGTGATTAGAGGGTGAGATTGAACTGTTTATCACCACATATCTGTATCACAGCCTGTACCACAGCTCATCATCTCTAATTAAAAACCTCCAAAACACCAAGCTAATGAATGTGTAATAGGTGATGTAAAATGTAGTACAAAGCATTTCACCACAATCATGTGCAGTGTAGGAACACAGAATGTTGTTACATGTATGATATCCAGTCATGTGTGCTCTATGCTCTCAACAAAAACCTCCTGAGGTGGACAGACACATGTGCCTCCATGCCCTACAGATGCCCCTCATCGCTCCTCCTACTCAGGTTTAGCTAAACCACTCTGACAGCTGCCTTTGGTCAGGTAAGCCTATGGGGACCAGTTCTCTGTTTACCACGGACAATGTGCCTTCAAAGACCTAATGCAATTATACGCTCTGAACAATGCACATTACCCGCATATCAATCAATTATTTTCAAGGAACACCAGTGGAGAATCCTGGATGAATTTAAGCACATTTGAGACTGGGTATTCTAAGTGTTTGTGTTGGTTAGCCCTTCCAATACCCTCCACTGGTGCTGTATGATAGTAGTGCACTCACTGTATAAGCATCAGCATTATAATGTCATAAAGAGGTCTCTTGAGCCATTGTGTAGATCTAATAATTCATAGCCTTTGTAGTTGAAAGTGCTTTTGATGTGGTCAAGTATGTGAGCATTTTCCAGTATTATCATTACCCCTACTGTACATTCCTGAGTCAGACAACAACTGTGTACAGTATACCTTTGTATAACACTGTAATTACATTCTAGTAACAACATTGTTCCTCATTTCACTTTTGTTTCTTTAAATTGAACAAGAACAATAATACAAGAGAAAACAGTAGACCTACAAGCAGTATGCTGCATAACAGGTTGTTCTGTTTGGTGTTGAACTGAATAGAGCCCTTGGCCTATACATGGATTGTTGTTGTGTAGGGATTTCATTCAGTGCACAAGACCCATGTGTTATCAACATAAATATAACATGTGTGCTACTTCACTTCTGGGCCACTTCTCTTCTGGGCCTGTGCCTGCCTGTGTATTACTGATACAGAAACTAGCACACTGATGCACAGCCTCAGGAGGGTTGTGTCAGATGCCTAGCTCAAGTGGCCCACATACAGCATGGGGAAGTGATATAGGTGGATGTATGGCTGGATACTCTCTGGACCAGCACTGAAGGAGCAGTTTAGGAAAAGGAATCACCCTAGATAAATAGTTGGAAATACTGGTGAGAGCCTGAGCAGAGAATAAAAGTGGATTTCATTTCAAAGGGATTATTATGGAGGTCACTGCATTTTAATGTCCCCATTCCAATCATGAAAATAACTTTGGGATGATGAAATCAATTACTACACCCTAGGATGAAATATGAATGGAAACACTTTTAGTTATGCAATTTTTAATAAGACCCTTAAAAAATATAAGTCAGATAGAATTACCTGCTTTGGCAAAATGAAGTGCAGCTCTCTGAAACTACCATGGCGATATCAGTAGTCTGAAGGCAATAAAACTTGAAACATGATGGATGGGTGCTTTGGCACTATCTGCTCCTTTTGTTTTGTTGTGATGAGTGAGCACAAGGTGAAAATGAGGTTTATCCTCCGATATCACCTGCCAGTCCAATCGGGGAAGTAATGTGCATTCAAGGTGACATCAAGTTTCTCTGTATTCTGCGTGCCACTCCATAATATCAATTTCCCGGAAGCTCAGAACTTTTCCTGTGACCGTAAGGGGGATATTTGGAAGACGTTGCAGTCCTCTGCCATCCTCTGTCATGGATAAGGACAATTAGAGTCTGATAAGGAACATAGCGTGGCAGGAACCCCCCCCCCCCCCAGCCCCAATAAAAGGCTGTTAATGATTGTACTTTAACTCAGAATAAAACTCCTTTATAGTGTTGACTGCCTCTCCTTGTCAAATGAAGGGTGCCCTAAAGGAGAACAGAGTGGATATCCCCTCCAACAAAAAATAACAGAAGTCAATGGCAACTCAGTGCATGCCTAATTGTAGACAAGGCAAATCAACAGAAATGACTAAGTTTACTGGGTTGTAAGGGGGAAGACATGACTTCTACTGCTTTTCATGTCTCTTATCTTTATATCTGTTGACAAGGAAATGCCATTTTCAAAAGTGGTGTCACAGTGTCTTTTTTTAATCCAAATATTACCAAAAGAAGATCAATCTATTCATTGCTAATGGTTGCAAGAGCAATGCATTGTGGTCCTCTGTAGCTCAGCTGGTAGAGCACGGCGCTTGTAACGCCAAGGTAGTGGGTTCGATCCCCGGGACCACCCATACACAAAAATGTATGCACGCATGACTGTAAGTCGCTTTGGATAAAAGCGTCTGCTAAATGGCATATTATT